TGTTGTGGACGTCTAGTTAAGGAATCTTAGTTTTACAAAGTGATGTTGGTCATGGATAGAAAACTTGTCTGGAGCATGATTAGGAATGGACAGATAAGGTACTATACTACCCAATCCTGTGGAGGCTTAGTGGCCTCATGGTTAGTGTGCTTGCCTGTGGATTGAGCAGTCTGGGTTTGAGCCCTGGCCAGGGACATTTTGTCGTGTTCTTGGGCAATATATTTTACTATCACAGTGCTTCTCTCCACCCAGGTGTACAGCTGGGTACTGGAAAATTTAATGTTGGGTGGGTAATCCTGTTAAGAATTATCATCCCATCCAGGGGGAGAGGGGCGGTAGAAATATTCCTAGTTGCTTCATGCTTATGCTAGATAAGTGATGGCCTGATGGGCGAATTGGTTTGTATGTAGACTTAATCTTTTTTGTACCTTACTACCCAATTCTAGGAAGTTGGGTGGTATGTTCTTCTATAAAATGATCATTTATTGGAGTGTGACATGCGGTTTCAGAACCCTGTCTAGGATTAGGGGGGTGGGTAGGGGAGATATGAGGCTTGAATTGTTGTACTAGAATATGAGTAGGGGCTGTGTACAGTATGGCTGGTGTGTGAGATAATGCAGTGGAACATGTTAAGGGATTGATGGGTGTTTGGAGTGCTGGACGAGGTGCAATACTGTGTTGTTTACTAGGATTGGCCAGAGAGGGAGCAGGGGAGTGGGATATTTCTCTAGAACCCTATCTGGGGTGGGTTGCTGTGGTAGAACATGACTGAGTTTGCCTTGTTGATGGTTGTGTTCTTCATTGTCAGAAAGAGAAGCTTGTGAAAAATGTCCCGCTCTCAAATCTTCTACTGGAAACAGATTCACCAGCACTGGCTGCTGAAAAACAGGTACTCATATTGTCTCATTAATGTTTTAGATATGAATGTTGCTCAACCAGTATCACTTGCTTAGACCTGTCACCCAAAATAAAGTAAGTTGTCAACCCTGGCATTTTACTTTGATCTACCTTTCATTGTCGCAACTAAAAGAAAGGTGTATGGTGCATACTCAAACAACAACAACAACAAAAACAACAACAACAATAACAACAACAACTTTATTGATGTGTTTAGATAAAATAGCACAGGGTGAAATCCTCTACTCATTGAGGACGCCTAAAAGTTAACTTGAAGGAACTATTTTCAGCATTAAAAGTTAAAATTAAGGATCTATTTACAGCTGTTAAAAACATAAACTCTTATATTACAAATCATCAGATTAAGAGCAAAGAAATCATAACTGGGATTCGTACTGGTTTGGATACCTGATCTTGTTACAGATTTTTACAATTTTATTTCTCTGTTTAAGCCTTAGGGTTAGATTTGATTGGAAGCATATACCAAACACTTTACACAGCATATTGATCAAATTCACTCAAACCTCTAATTATTTTGTTCAGGGCACTCCATACTGTGTCTTTTCAACCCTCTCTGAATGTTTAACAATGTCACAATGCAGTGTCTCTCATGTTTGACATATTGCTTTGTAAATAATTTATTTTTTGTTTTTTGGTAGACAAGGAATGAACCTAAGAACATCTACATTTCGTGCGAGGCAATCTCAAGGATCAAAGGAATTCCTATGCAGACAGTTTATGAAGAAACCACAAAAAATGCTCTGAAGTTGTTTCCCAAACTCCACAGATTTATTAGAAAGTGATTTAATGAGCAATCCAGATTAAATTAACAAAATTAACAAAATTATTTAATATGGTGAGTGGAATGTTACCTGTGAACAGGCTTCAGCTTGAAGGATCTGACAGCGGCTGGAAGGGTCTGACAGCGACTGGAAGGGTCTGACAGCGGCTGGAAGGGTCTGACAGCGACTGGAAGGGTCTGACAGCGGCTGGAAGGGTCTGACAGCGACTGGAAGGGTCTGACTGCGGCTGGAAGGGTCAGACAGTGGCTGGAAGGGCTGAGAAAGAACTGGCTGAGAGTGAAGTGGCCAAGGGGGAGATGTTCACAGGCTAAGTGGAATGGGTTTAGGGAGTGATTGCTAAGTAATTTTAAAATTGCCAAGATCATACAGTAATGACAATTAGTTTAGAAATAGAAAACATGTACCATGTTTCTATTGGGTTTTGTATAAATCTACTCGCGTTCTATCACGAATGGCATTCTCTGATTGGCTAAGGTACTCACTATCTATTCTGTGATAGATAGTGAGTAGTGTAACAGTGTGCCCTTGTTAACAAAATGATGGCCGCTTCTTGGCATTTCTGAAGTGTCTGTGAAGAGGATTTAGATAAAATTTTGAACGACCAGTAGATTTATACTAAAACAATTAGATTATTCGCTCTCGATTTCTATGCATGGTAGTTGACTCAGGCTATGCCCTTGTCAACTATCATGCGATAGAAATCTCAAGCTCATAATCTAATTGTTTAATAGAAACATGAGTGGAAGTTTGGGAAAACAACACATGCTGTGGGAACACGAGCCGACAAGTGAGTGTTTCCACAGCTTTTTATGAGTTCTCCCAAACTTTCATGAGTGTTTCTATAACTCTATAGAAACACGGTGTATGTGTTTTCTATTTCTTTTAGAAAATTCTGCAACAAAAAAAGAGAAAACAACCTGTTTATTTTGATCATCAAAATGTAAATTCTTTTTTCTCGCACCATCATTACGTCAACAGCTCATGCTACTTCGTGTTTCTATCAAGGAATAGAAAACACAATTTTAAACCAATCAGTGCACATATTTTCCTTGGACTATTTTCTAAAAGAAATTACAAGTATGTTTACTGCCTGAATTGTTTTTTGTAAAAGTTCCAATTAATCACTCAGTAAGAAAATGTGAGGCAAATTCTTTGTGAACCTCTCAGCTCTTTTAGATAATTAAACCAAAACCCACTGGGGTGGACTCAGGATTTTAGAGAATGGGGTTTGAGATATGGATTGCTGAATGCAGTACCCTGCAGGGGGGTTTGTGGGCATCCTCCCCTGGAAAATGTTTAGAATTCAGGTCCTCAGAAATGGGATTTCTGGCATTCTGAGGCCAAGTCAGCATGCAATAATGTCTAATTTTTTTTAATATAGAGGTTCAACTGAACTCCCAAACACCCCTAGGTCCCCCCAGACCCAGTAATGATTCCATCAGTTTTGCAAACCCTCAGTAAAAAGTAAAATAGATATTTAATTTGTACAAAGGAGCAAAGCAAGTGAGTAAAATATTGTTTTAAACACAAATTTTATTTTTGAGTGGTAACAACAACATTTTGTCACTCGTTTTGCTAATGCATAAAATATTGTTTTTGACATGAGAAAATAAAATTCATGTATTTTCAAGCCACCGTGTAATTTTCGTTTTATTTTATAGGTAAAGTGACTGGTGTTCAACTGAACTCCCAAACACCCCTAGGTCCCCCCAGACCCAGTAATGTACTCCATCAGTTTTACAAACCCTCGGTAAAAAGTAAGATAGATATTTAATTTGTACGAAGGAGCAAAGGAAGTGAGTGAAATATTGTTTTAAACACAAATTTTATTTTTGAGGGGTAACAACAATATTTTGTCACTCGCTTTGCTAATGCATAAAATATTTTTTTAACACAAGAAAATAAAATTCATGTATTTTCAGGCCACTGTGTAATTTTCTTTTTATTTTATAGTCAAAGTGACTGTTTGGTTAAACAACCGTGAAAACGTGTCACCAATATTCTCACTAGTGACGATATGGAAAATTTGCCACTTGGGTCCAGGATGTAGTTTCTTGTGAGTTTTAAGTGCCTTAAATTTTCCAATAAAGCACTTGTGTCTATATAATGAAGTCACTACATTAGTATAGGTAATCATACGGTTTCGA